ATATTATATATATATATATATATATACACTATTTTTTTACAAATTATGTAATAGTTGTTTCATAAATCATACCTTTCTTAATTTAGTCAATAACTGTAAAATCGATAACTGTGCAATCTAAGCATTCTATGCAAAATATTTCTCCAAAAATAAACTTAAAGTAGCTTGGGCAATAGTAATATAATATTTCCTGTTTGTTTTAGAGCAGAGCTAAATTGAGCTTTCTGCTGTGTCTACCGCGGGGAATTGAACTCTGGATTTTAGTGTCGTAAGTCCGTAAACTTACCACTGTCCCACTAGGAGATAATCTTTGTTATACCCGAGTTGTTTTTCATGAAATTTGAACTTATTTTTCCAACCTATTTAACCTTCATATACACATGTAAAGAAAAAAATTCACATACTACTTAAAGTCGAAGGAATAAAATGCTTTCTTCTAATTAAGTAGACTGGATTTTACACTATTCCTTTTTTTACCAAATAATTAAACAACTGTCCGACGAAAGAAATTGTTGCAACAATTATGTCAGGAGAGGGATTAGTTTAAAAATATAATATAATTCAGACTGAACTCCAACTACGCAAGCTCAAAGCGGGAATAACAATTTAATAGAAATGATGAAACAGTGGAAACAATATCTAGAAGAAAGGAATGGAAAGAAAAGAGGAGAATTAAAAGAACGAGATATAAGACTTAAATAAGAATTACGAACAAAATCAATTCATAATGGAGCTTATCACCTACTGCACCAATTCTTGCTTTCATTTTCAAAATAGCCTACCGATTGGATCACCAGTTCTTAGTAGCATTTACGTGGAGGAATTTGAAATTACAACCTTAAATACAAGAACTGTAATGCCCAAGATATGGAAGCGACACCTTCCTAATTTGGTCACATGGACAAGCAACTTTCAAGACTTCCTTTAATACCTAAATTCCGTCAACCAAACATAAATTTCACCATTCAGGTGCAAGAAAATAGAACTCTACCATTTCTGGACATCTGCATTCACAGACAAGATGATTGTCTGACTCCATTACAGTATGTGGGTAACACACATAAGCGGGTATTTGCGCTACAAGTTCAATCATTCACAGATTCTTAACTGAGGAATCATTGTGAATTTGTTTGAAAAGGCCACAAAAACATGCACTGGTGATCAAATTGAAAATAAATGAACTTTTTAGAAAAAAGTTATTAAAATATGGTTACGTTACCAGCTTCATCTTGGCCTCCAAAGAAAAACAGAGTTCCTAGGCTGAACAAGAAAACCAACACAAAATCAAGATTAGTTTACCATGCATACATCCATAAATTAGGCGAGAAGCTAAAGAGCTAAGTTCAATATAAAAGTTTATTTTAAACCTGGAAAACTGACCAAAACACTTAATGAAAGTGAAACAATCCACCAAGTTAAAACAGTGGACTAATCTACAAAGTACTGGGTTCATGCTAAAATACATATATTGTAGAAACGGATTGAATCGTAGAACAAATGCTAAAATAAGATAAGGACATGAGTGGACTTGTGCATCCTAAAAATTAGCATTGGCAGAAAATGACAGGCTATTCCATAAACTGGAACCAACATAAAATTCTGGACACGTCTCGCCATTTAAATATTATTAAAATTAAGTAATTACATTAATTACACCAACCTAATCTGCTTTGTTATCGGTAACTTCTGGAGCTCTCTCTCGCCAAACTACACAGAATGAGTGGTAACGTCATACAACAAACATTCAGAGATGTCTACTCGCATGGAAAGACGAGTATATAGGAAGAAGATCTATCACAGGACCATGATAATTAACAAAAGGTCACTACGCAGTTAACAACTTTTAACACTGACTTCAAAAAGGTTTCGGTATAAAGCCAAAATGTCTTCCCACTCTAGAAACGGGCATGTAGATTAAAGCTAAAACGTTTCCAAAATGCAGTCAAATCAAAGGTAAAATTAAATAAACCATAAACAATGTGTGAATTAAAGTTAAGTCATAGAAGATGTGCACAAAGATTATGATAAAATTAATGAAGTACAAAAGGATTATAACAACTACACTGAATGAAGCTGTAAGAAATCTATAGAATGATTACAACAAGATATCGATGAAGTACTTGATTTGCTCAATTATCTTGTCCAGATACTCCATGTGAAATGATGGATTCATTGGCATGTGACTAGCTCATAGGTATCAAGGTAGATGAGGATGTGCAAGTTTGGTGAATATCTTGAAAATGAAGTTGTCCAGTTTTCAGTGTAATTTGAATCAGTTAAAGTTCAGACAAAAAAACTCGAAGCACCATCCAGGAATTATGCAGTTATGAGATTAAATACTGTGGAAACATCGACTCCCTTTGATGGTAGTTAGAAGATCTCGGAGGATTAATTAGACAACTCTTTGCCCTGAATATGAGTAGTGACCTATAGGACAGAAGATATTTCAATTGCAACTTAAAATGACATATTGCCAGGAACTATTTACAAAAAAAAGGTAAAAATAAAAATTGCTCTTAACTGATGATAAACTCATGACAGGGCTCCTACGATTCTGGAAACTCCTGAAAACTTAAAGTATTCCATATTGCTACGTTGTGTGCACAATACCAGAATATCATCAGAAGTCCAAGATTTATTTGCAGTATGTTTTTTCTGGCTTGGTTTGAGCTTCGTACTGCAGACCTAACTGTAGACTTTACGTTTGTTTTTGTTTTAACAGGGAGACGTGCATCCACGTTCCTTAGTATTCTACTTGTCAAATTATATATATATACGAGTCAATTTTGGGCTAATTGTTGCATACTATTTAGTAATATTAGATGTACTACTAAGTTTTCTGCCTACTAGACACTTCGTGGTAAGATAGAATTCTTAAATGTTGAGTTTTCAAACATAATTCTATCAGAGTTTACATTGGCCACGATTGATTTGAAACGTTTTATTTTAGTAACTACCCATCTGATGTATGAGTTAATGCATCTTTTAATCTTGTATGTTCAGTTCATTAAATACAACAATAGTCTACTACTATCGTATTCTTAAAATGGAAGCTTTTTCAGAATAACCTAGGAATATTATTTTTAACTTATATTATTTTTTAGTATCTCTTGAATGATCAGTAAAGCTAAAAAGTTGGCCTTACTAATAACTGGAAACTTTCGGATCTCGGGGTTGGGTGTACACTTCCCAATGAGTTGCAACAGTTGAATCACAAAGAAAGGGACAAGACACAAATTTATATACAGAACGAATGTTTAATGAAAGAAATACAAAAATGTATTATAGTTCCTTGTTTTGAAACTTAAAAAGACATAAAACAAAACAAGGAACTACAATACATTAAACACCTATACAGTTGACAGTGGGGCAAGAGATTGTTTTTATCTAGAAAGACGTGCGACTGGAAAGAAAGTGGAAGACTAATAGATAAATAAGGTATTGCTACTTGGATTTCACTAAAAAAAACAATCCATACTTTAAATATAAACCTGGGCCTGGCATAGCCAGGTGGTTAGGGCACTCTACTTGCAATTTGGAATCCCCGTCCCACCAAACATGCTCGCCTTTTCAGCCGTGGGGGCGTTATAATGTGATGGTCAATCCCACTATTACATTAGGTAAAAGAGTAGCCCAAGAGTTAGGCGGTGGGTGGTGATGATAGCTGCCTTCCTCT